AGCCCAGCGCACCCAGTGTGTGTGGGGGGGTCCCTGGGCGGGGAGGGGACATGCTGGGGGGCTGGTGCCTGAAGCTCGGGGCTGACTGATGAGTCCCTGTTACAGGAAGCGGTCCCATTCCCAAAGCGGCAGCCCCTTGGCCCGCCAAGCCCCACACAGCTTGATCGCTGCCCATCCCCCCACCCTGGCACTGCCCTGGGGCTGGGCACAGCCAGGCTGAGGGGCCTCCTGCTCCAGGGGCCCGTTAGCCTCCTCCGCTGAGGGGCCACCGAGCTGCGGAAGGGAGATCAAAGGGCAGCAAAGCCTGACTGGGTTGCACCCCCTGCCGGGTGCAGGGAGAGGGGACCCTGTAGGATAGCGGGGAGCAGCAGTGAGCGCCCCAGGGTGGCATCCGCCTCCCACCGTCACGTGACTGGGGAATGAGTGAGGGGCCCCAGGCCTTTGCGGGGTCAGGGAAGCAGTGAGACCGGCGAGAGGGAATGCTTAGCCCTAGACTCCCTGCCCGTGGCTGGCCCCGTGGCACCCCCAGCCTGACGGCGCAGGCAAAGCGCGGCCCTGATGCGTCTGTCCTGCCCAGATCACGGTCTCTGAGTACGACGACCTGCGCAGGGACATCAGCACCATGTACAACAAGGTGACGCTGGGGGAGCTGCAGCGCATCACGCCCACCGTGAGTACCCTGCCGGGACGCTGGGGGAGGGGCAGCCCAGCTGAGGTGCCCAGATAAATGCCCTCCTGGCTCTTCTCCTCCCCTGAGGGGGGCTGGCCCCAGAGTCAAGGAGGGCAGTGCCATCCGCACCAGTTCGGAGACTGCAGAGGGGCACTCAGACATGGGCCTTGTTAGGTCACTGCGGTGGGGCAAGCGCAGGCTGAATCACTGCCCGTGGGCCTGGGCCAGCCGCAGAGCGCGGGGGGCTCTGGAGAAGGCGAGGCCCCTCTGGTCATAGCGCCCTCTCCCCACCCCCCAGCTCAAGTGGAAGCGCCTGCTGGATCGGATCTTCCATGATAACTTCTCCGAGGAGGAGGAGGTGGTGCTGCTGGCTACCGACTACATGCAGAAGGTGTCGGAGCTCATCCGCAGCACGCCCAGCAGGTACCGGCTAGCGGGGCACGGCGGGCACTGCCAGGGTGCAGGGCTCTACCAGACGCCTCGTCCCACATGCCCCCTCCAGCTCCAGACACACGGCTGGGTAGCAGGGCTCTGTGGGGACAGCGGGGCTCTGGGACATGCTGGTCACGCCCTGGGGTCAGAGTGGGGGGGAGGGAGAGGAGGGAGCTCCATCCTGCCCGGGGCAGCTCCCACACCCACTGCCCAGCTCCAGTGCCACTCTGGCACTCCAGGCATCTCCGGGCCCCTCACTCAGGCACACAGGTGTGATTGGAGCCTGGCAGCAGAGGGGCAGATCCCAGCAGAAGCCCCGTCCCCTGCTCAGGCTTCCTAGCAAGGTGGCAGGGAGGATGTGACCTTGATGGGCCTGGCCAGGGATTTCTGCGGTGGGGATCCGTGGGCGCGATCCTCAGCCGACTCTCC